AGTCCTTGGGTAAATAACTAGGAGGTTACAGTATATTTTTTTTTTAAGACTTCAAACTGCATGGTTATTAGCTAGTTTTTACTGTGGACAATATTCCACACCATTATTTTTAACTTGCAATTCACTAGGTCATACGAGAGGTTCAAAAATAAATCAAAAATGAACTTCGTTAATTTGACACCCAGTAAAACCATTCGGTTTGTGTGGGGGCAACGGCTGGTACTTGGTTTTTTAATGTCAGGCAGATAGATCGTCACTAAGAACCCAGGTAGTCACCCATCTGGGAGAATGCTCGACCGCTGCACACATTACTATATTAGTGACTGCGTCCAATCACCAGGTCACCATACAATGAACTCTAATACCAACAACGTTAAATTGTATATTATATGTTCATAAATTTACCAGTTTAAATTCTTCTGAAATGTATTATAATATGTAACATTTGACATATCAACAAATGGTATACAATATTACAATCTTTAATATATCAATAGTATTGAGTAGTAAAATATCTAATGGTATATTATACAGATTAGTAAAAATTGAATAATTTGTTGGTCGTTGCCACATCGATAAAATCAAATATTTAAGTAACTTGATCGTCATATTTAAAAGGTGATTTTGAAAGGATTTAATATAGAAACTTGTATATTTTAGAAAATTAAGGTTTCAGAAATATAGTAAAAATATTTTGTACTAGGTTCGTTACGTTATTTTGTATTAGCAAGACTAAAACAGTTAACCTAACTATTAATTAATCATATAAATAATAAACCAGGTATAGGATCATAGTCAAATACAATTTTAATGATTAGAAAACCGTGTAAACATTCAAATTAATAATTATGTATATTCGTATAACGTATTTACTATTTACTATACAGAGTGTGACAGTGTATATGAAAAAAAAAAATAGAAAATTAAATATGTCAATTTATGTTCAAAAATTACCTAATAGTCATTAGGGATCAAATGTGTACCAGTTATTAGGTATTTTTTCATTGCTCAACATTTAAAAACCCAAAATATATGATCTATTAAAAATTTTAAATATTATACAAATAATATGTATTATATTAATTTAAAAACATAAAATGTTTCAAAAAAGGATACTAAAAAGGTTCAACAAATCAAAGACGTATAATACTGCCGGTAGCTGATGCCATTATTAAGAAAAATAAATCAATAAAGGTATGCTAATATTGTAATATTGTAAAATATATCCATTTTTTTGAACTTCTAGTATTTAGATATGAAATCAAAAAACCGTACCAGAAGCAGGCGCGGATCCAGAGCAGATTTATGGGGGGGGGGGAGGGCATCAAATATTATTAATAAAGTTTATCAGGGTTTAATATGTTAATAGGCAGTGGTTATTTTCACGTCCGACGTGAAAGTATTTGTTTTTACGTCCTGCCCTGTGATTGGTCGAATTATTGATAAGAAAAATATTGATAAAAGTATTAAAAAACCCTCGTAATTTTGAATTATTAATGAATCATTAATTAAATTGAATTATTTACTTACCAGTTATTTATTATACAATTTCCAAAGGCTATTTTAAAGTTTACACCAATCAATTGTATTGTACCTATTATCTATCTTGATAAAATGCTGTCATGCTTAATGGTTACCTACTAATCTTCAAACATTGAAACATATTAATCCAATTTTTTCCAGTTATTCAATTAAAATAATAATTGCTGAAAACAATCATATTTTATATATTGTGTTATAAGTGTTTTTGTTACCTATTGTGTAGTGATTAGTGAAATTATATAATATGAATTTAAATATGAATATTTGTGACAATGTAAGTATGACTAATTTCAAAAATTATAGAGATGTGCATAATATACTTACTTATATAAGGAAAAATTTGAATTTTAGTCTGAAATACAAGAATTTAAAATTGACAGTGAGTTTTCTTCTCTAGTTGAATTAGAAAACTCTTTAAATAATTATGAGGCAAAACATTATTGCAATTTTACAAAATCAAACTCAAGAACAATTGAAGGGGCCAAAAAGAAAGGATTAAAAAGATATATACAGTAAGTTCTCGTTACAACGAACTCCAAGGGACCACATTTTTTTTTCGTTATAACGGGATTTTTCGTTGTATCGGTATTCGTTGTAACGGGAACTTACTGTAAATCCAAAGCTGGAATATGCTGAAATTGATTATGTGTGTGTTAATGGAGGATAATACAAAACCCAATCAAAAGGAATTAGACCACAACAAAGGTTTGTGTATAAGAATTATATAGATACATTTTCTTTCAGTTCTTACCGTTCAAACTGCCCAGTAGTTATTCGTATAAGGCCTGATGCAATGGGCGAAAAATTGGTCATTAAATCTTTTGTCAGTGAGCACAATCACATATGTACCAAGGTAAAAATAATTAATTTAGAGTTTAGTTTTAACTATCAACTTTTATGTATACAAAATATATTTGTTAAGCCATGTATGATCATTATCCAAAACAGAGAAGGTTAGATAACGACGCTAAGATTATGGCAACAAAATGGTCAACATGAAAGTTAACAAAATAATATTGCAGAATGATTTAATGAAAACATAAAATAAAATAGTTACACTAATGGACATTCACAACTTAGTAATTTAAATTCACCAGCCTCTGATGCATTAAAAATTCTAGTTAAACATTACCAAAATTCTAATGTTACATTACACATCTCCAAAAATAGTAATAATGAATTGAAGGCCATTTACTTCCAAGACTTGGAGATGCAGCGCATTTTTTCATTGTGTCCAGAAATTTTATTTGTTGATGCAATTTACAAAGTTAACGACTTGCGATTACCTCTTTATGTGTTTTTAGGTTTGTATATATCAATTTATTAAAATGTAACAGTTAACTTTCACATACTAATATTTATAATTTATTAACAGTTGTGGATAGTAATGGACAGAGCGAGATTGTAGGTTTCTGTCTCCTAACTTCGGAAGATTTAGAAAATGTTGAAAATATGACCATAACGTTAAAAAAATTTAATCCTGCGTGGGAAAATGTAAAATGCATAATGGCCGATAAAGATTTTACTGAACGAAACCTATTCAAAAATCAATTTCCATCGACCCAAATTTTAATTTGTATTTTTCACTGTTTGAGGTCGATGTCAAGAGAAATTACTTGTGAAAAAATGAACATAACTTCAGGTAAGAAAATATATGCAAATTTTAATTAAATAATAATATAATGTAATATTGTATATAATAATATTGTCCTTTGATATAGGAGAAAGAACATTATGCCTACAAATATTGCAAAAAAAAAGTATTTTCAAAATCGGCAGATGAATATGAATTATATTATGACGAACTAAAAGAGACAAAAATACATAGTGTATTGCAATATTTTGACAAAAATTGGCATCCCATTAAAAATGAATGGGTAGTCTGTTTCCAATCTAAATTCATGACTCTAGGTTGTAAATTGTAATGCAATATGGTGTATTAGTATTATTAAATATATTTTTTTATATTAGGTAATAGAACAAATAATAGACTAGAAAGTACGAATCAAAAAATAACCCAGGTGGTCACAAAATTTTCAAGACTAGACCAACTATTTCAAGGTAAAATTGCATTTTAATAATATACCTATTATATGTGTTATACCTGTTATTGTATAGGACTAGAGATGTTAATGGTGACCCTTAGAACCGAAAGAGACCACGTGGCCACTGAGTGTTTTAGTAAGACTCCAAGTTTTGTCAATAACTTGTCAAATGAAGAAAAAGAAATGTACTGGTATTTAACGCCATACGCTTTTGATATTGTAATGTCAACATTTAAATCTGTTAAAAACATAAACGTTTTATCTTTAAACAAAGAAACACAATCAGCAACAATTCAATCAAGTGAAGGTGTATTACTTACTAGTACAATAAAATGTAGTTGTTCATTTGTCACAAGCATGTGTTTACCGTGTCATCACATTCTTAAATTGCGATAGATATATAATATTCCACTACATAATCCAGAACTCTATGCAGAAAGATGGACTAGGGAATATTATGCTAACGTGTGTAGAGTTATTCCAACAAATAATACTGAACCCATTAAAGGAAACCAAATAAATGATGGAAATGAAATTCAGAATATTAATATAGTGACTGTAGAAAAAATAAAATACTGAATGCACAAGAAAGTATCGGAGTGCTCACGTCGAAGCCAAACGATTGGCTTCTCTAGCTTCAGAAGCAACAGGGAAACAATTTGAACAGCGTTTAATGATATTAAAATATATTGCCAATGCATGGGAACAAGACAATAACATAACAACCACTGAAATTGGTTTGTACTAGTTTTATTTATAATTATTTAAACATACATTTATATTTTATGTTTATAAATTATTATATTTAGATTATTATTATTATTATTATTATTATTATTTTTACTCAAGGAAAATGAAAGTAGAGAAAATATAGATGTAACTATGGAAATAGAAGAAATCGAGGAAGACAATGTTATACAAACAGATAATCTAGAAGAAAATTTTCCACATCTAACACCTAGAGTACCTAAAAGAGGTCGACCAAAGGGTAATATTATCTTCTATAGAATTTAGGTATATTATTTAACTATGTAAAATTTAGGTAAAGACACAGGGCAGGACGTGAAAACAAATACTTTCACGTCGGACGTGAAAATAACCACTATTATATTGTTCGACATCAGGATAATGATGATTAGGTTACCTTTAAAAATACCATAAATAATTAAACAACAATTTTTTTTTTAATTATTTAGGATACTCAATCTTTATTGGTTATAAAATATTTAATTACATTACTTTTTCTACATTTAAGCTTAATTTTACTATAGTTCATAATTTACGATAAATTCTAATCAAATGTACAATTCAAAATCAGCTTAATTTTCTTATTACTTATGGTTTTCAAATTGCAAATTTTTTTTTTTTGTAATTAAAATATTTTATTCAATCTGTTTCAATACATGAACAATAATGAACAAAATTGCAAATGGAATTTTTCTTTTGCTTTTGGAGAAACGTTCAATTAATTTTTCAACATCGATGTCTATGTCCCTGTGGATGTTCAATAATGCAAGTCCAGTCAAGCGTGTTTCACACATTGTTTATCTTAACCGTGTTTTAAGACGCCGCAATGAAGAGAATGTTCTTTCAGAACTAGAATTACTAATGGGCAACGTAATTAATAATTTTAGTATTTTATTTATTAAAGGAAAAATGCCTTCATCACAATTCTGTAATACATCAATGGCGTGCTTAGAAATTCACGTATCCATTTTTCTTTCCAAATATAGTATTCACCAACTAATTGCGAGGATACCTCATCATTATGAAGTAATATTTGAACATCTTTGGCAACTGATTTTATTTTGTCAGTTTCTTCTTTTTGGTCATTTGGTAATTTTAAAAAAATAGACGGAAGAAAAAACGATAACTGAAATAATTCCAATGTATTTTGTGAAAAACATGTTTTTAAGTCATCTACAACATTATCCAATAAAGGAATAAATATCGTGATTCTGTAATAGTCTTCTACATTATTAGTAGAATAGTTTGAACGATTTTTTTGTTGCTTACATATCCTAGGCAATCGTAATTCTACATCGATAATTTTTGCTATGTCTTCAGATTAAAAATATTTGAAAATTCTGTGTCCGCATTTTCGCGACATTTCAAAAGAACTTGTAATGTATCTTTAATAGTATTCGCTGCTGTACTCAAATATAAATTTTTTTTTTTGGAAAATTTTGCTCAGACAATATGTGAAATTGAGCAAATGCACAACACTAAAAATAGCAATAATAAATTCGGTGTCACATTGTGTTGTTACAAGTATTTTTGCTTTTCTAGAAGTTTGGGAATCTTTCCATGTTGTAATTTCAGTTAATGTATTAATTATTTTAGGTATGTCTTGTAAAAATCTAGTAATTCCTTCATGCCTCTCAATCCATCTCGTTTCACATAATCCTGTTAGCTGATAGCTGATGGCCAATATATTTCTTCAAAACTACAGTACGTTTTGCTGACACAGAACAAAAACCAACCACTTCTTTAATAATTCCAACTAAATTTCGTATACTTTGAACTTTATTTGATTTTGAAATCGAAATATTAAGAGAATGATTGTAACATGGACATCTACTGGCATTCGGTGAACTTTTTATGATTTCAGCTACAGCTCCACAAACTTCTGATGTTATAACACTACAGCCATCAGTACCAATACCTACACACTTGTTAAGATTCAGACCTATTTCTCTCAGTTTATTCAAAACAATTTGCCCTCACTTATCGATATTTCTTCTATTTTTTTGCAACTTTCATAATTATCCGAGGTACTGTCATTATTTACTTCTTCATCATCACATAATTTATTATTATAACTCTTTAGTTGAACAAGTCGAGCTTCGTCAAAAACAAATGTTACAAAATCTTCTCTAATTGTTATTTCATCAATATATCTTATGACTAAACTAATTTGTGATCGTTTAGATACATCTAAGGTTTCATCAAAATTATGCTATAAAAGATACCCTTGTCTGTAATTTTTTTTTAAATACTATCTAAAATTTCTTTACCACATAACTCCATTAATTCGTTCTGTATTGCTTTACTAATGTATGTTGCCTTCGAAGAAGAATTCTTCAGATGATTTTCAATCGTAGAATCTCCGGCTTTGACTCGATATTTTAAAAGTTCTCTAAAACTACCTTCGTTTATTGAATTTCCTCCATCTTCAATGGTAGACGGTAAATCTTGTTGGCCATCATCTCTCTGCCCTCGAAAGGGGATGTTTTTTCTTCCCAAAAATATTATACTTTCTATGATCGGAATAAGTCTTTCTTGTTTTTCTTTTATTTCTTGCATTCGTTTCGTATTTAATAAATTGTGTATTTGAAGTTTGGGATTATTGTAATTTTGTTAAAAATGTTCAGCCATTTGGACAGACTCATTGTGATATCTAGTGATTTCATATCCATGTAAATCCCCTGTATTTACTTGTAATTTTGCAAACTTTGTCAATGTTTGAGTAACTAATTATTTTAATTCTACATTACGTTGAAAACCACCTTGTTTTTGTACATTAAACAAATGACAATATTTCCAATATAAACCTTGTTTTGATGGTGAAAATACTAACCATTTAAAATTATTTAAATGTTGTTGCCAATAAATCGACGTATTATTTTACCATTTTTATTATGCTCAGAGAAAGGAAATACGTAGTTTGTCGGTGGTACCCAATCATTTATTAAAGTTCACGCTTCGTATAATCGTCAATATTATTTTCAATATAATCTCCATTAGTATGAAGATGAAAATCATGACTAGAAGATGCTAATACTAAATCAATGTTCGAATTAAGATCTTTTACTGAATTTTCTGAATTTTCTTCTGGTATACTGCTTTCAACTGTGATTTTTTTTTGAAATAGGATTGAAAAATGAACTAATTTTTGAAGAAGGACGTTTTTTATCAGTAGTTGAGGCCTACAAAATTAAAGAAAATGTAATAGTTTTAAAATCATCTTATGACAATATGAAGTAAAAATGTCGGTCGTATAAATAAAATATGTAGTTAAAATCAGATTTTATACATATGAATGAAATGTTAATAAATAATAAAAATAATATAAATGAGTAGAAAATAGAAATTTATTAAAATATTAAAAAGGACGGAATATTACATATTATTTTATTTTATTTTATGTTATTTAAACGAAATTTTGATTATTGTACAAAATATGGTTTTTAATTCAAATAATCAAATCAGTGGCAGTGTATTAAAATTAAAAATACAGATTGCTGACCATTTTGATAATGTTATATAATATTCAATATTGTAGCACTAGAATTAATGGTCAATATCTGCGATTATTACGATAACGTGAACGGTCTACGGCATCGAGCGTCGCTTCGTTAGCCTACGCCACGCCGGTTGCCGACGCAATTAGAAATTATAGAAAAATTCTATAAATAGAATTGTCCGAAAACCAATATCAATTTTACGAAACATTATAACCTAATATAGAAATATTAAATAAGAATAATTCGATCTATTCTATTATCAATGGTATTATTTTTTTCACCGGCCTCATCTTTATTTTTTAGATTTTGTATCCGGGCCTGATCAGAAGTTGTAAGTTGGAAGTAGCTAGTACATAATATAATATAATACATAGGGGTAACCAACTAATATTTTAAAGGTCCACATCAGGAAACTGGAAATGGTTGGTGGGCATCAAAATTTCAAACGTCAGTTTGACTAATGAACAAAAATGATAAATTACAACACTAAAACCTCCTTTTCGATTTTTTTTTTCAATTATGGTCGTTAAATAATTTTTTTTGCTAAATCAAAATCTTGAAAATTTACCCATATTAGATGTTCAAAACCAATGAACATAATATAAAGATTAAAGGCAAAAATTTTTTTATAAGCAATTAAAATTCAAATTTTGACAAAATCCATCATAATCGAGCAAATATTATCAAATTATTTTGTATTTAAAAATGTATATATTGTTCAACTTTTATAGATAAGAACTAAAAGTGCGTGTTTTGTACGCGTCCGTCGACCAGTTATCGGTGATAATGGCTCTAATTACGCGAGGTAAGGTGATACGACGTGCGTTTGTGTTTTTATTTTATTCAAATTAATGATAAACGGACAATTATCGTAAACAAAATTCAAGCATTGCTGTTCGGGAAAATTATAACCTACATTGTCAAGCTTTATTCGCGATAAAAAATCTGCCGGATTCTGTTCGGACTTAACGAAAACTATCTCGAAATCGAATGATGATAACACGTAACGCATCTTTTGCAGTCGATTCGTACATCGGGATGCCCTTCTTATCCCCGAATATATGATATAGTGGTTTGGGATAGTCAAGGGCGTCGCGAACATTTATGATATTGAAAATATTTTATTTTGCATAATTATCTATTAAAAATTATACTAATTATTTTACATAATTATAGTTTATCTAGTATAAATTATAATACTTATTTTTTAAATAATAATTGTAAACGTCTAGGTTTTTTTCTAGGAATTTGGAATCTTCTTCTAGTCTCTTTCTATGTACACTCATCATACACAATCCGGACAATCGGTCATCACCCATGCTGGCTCTGTTCCAGGTCTTGACACGTCTCAAAGTACTAAATGAACGTTCAATACTGCAGGTTGTTGTTGGAAGAGATGCTCCGTCCTTGATTGCGTCGGCCACAGCTGGATAAAAATCTTTTGACATTTCGATCAAAACTAAGTATTCAATAGAATCGAATGGTTTTGTATCGTTTTTCCACATTTCATACCATGTTGTGGCTTCAGTTATAAAATTTGATGGCAAAATGTTTCCATATTATATTTTTACAATATCATTTGATATACAAATAAACTGTTCTTTACTCATGTTTTTCATAGCATAGGGATGAAGATCCATTAGAGAAAACGATTGATTGTGAGCTTTAGAAAAACGATATTTTAATGAAGATATGACTGAATCTAGATAAGGAACGAAAATTGATATTCTGAAAATCTCTTCATGGTTTGTAGACGGATGATTCGGTCTATGAACCTGTCGTGCAGTTACTCGAGGGGGACGTATTTCAACATCATGTTCTTCAGCGATTTCTTTACATTTTGTAAATATTACTGTAAATTCAATCGATGAATTGTTTCTATACAACTGCAGAATATCAACTAGTAGTTATGTGATTGTTCACCGTTTTTAAATTTATATTAACCTGTTGAAGTTGATTACATACTGGTTCAAATTTAGCGGAATAAACAGCTATTACTTGCAGTGTAACAATAAAAACTGGTGTAGTAGCAGCCATAAAGGGTTGATAGGAAATTTTGGTCTTTGAATTTGCTGTACTTTACAAGAAAATTGTCAGCGAAAATTCTAATACTCTTATATTTTGCTGACCAACACGTTTCACGAAGTAGAGGAATAATAATAATTTTTCTACGCAATGTGATCTCTCTAAAGAATTTTATTATTTCTTTTATGATACCGATTGTATTTCTTACTTCACTGACCTTATTCAAATCATTAAATACAAGATTCAATACATGACTGGCACAATGGAAGAATAGTGCCATAGGATATGCTTCATTAATTATTTTTTGAACGCCACTAACATGTCCAGCCATTGTAGCGCACCCATCATATCCTTGGCCTACAAGTCGATTCATATCTAAATTACAACTTTCTAAAAATTCAATGATTGTTTTTGCGATGGATTTAGAATCTAGTTTTGACAGAGGCGAGTAACCAAGAAATTCTTCACAAATTTTGTGTCTTTGAAACTTAACGTCGTAAAGCAGCTGATACCAAACACAAATTGATAATTGTTCGGTGCCACTTATATCGGCAGTCTCGTCAGCAAAGACCGAAAAAACTG